GGACCACTTACTTTTAGTTACAGATTGTAACCCCTCTGAGACTTTCATTAGCCCATTTCAGGAGCAAACAACAGCACTGATGTTGTGGTTGGTGTTTGCTACAGACCACCAAATCAGGTGGATGAGGTAGATGAGGCTTTCTTCGGACAACTGAGCGAAGCTTCCAGATTGCAGGCCCTGGTTCTCGTGGGGGACTTTAATCACCCTGACATCTGTTGGGAAACGTATACGGCAGTACACAGGCAATCCAGGAAGTTTTTGGAGAATGTTGGGGATAACTTCTTGACACAGGTGCTGAAGGATCCGACCAGGGGCCATGCGCAGCTTGACCTTCTGCTCACAAACAGGGAGGAACTAACAGGGGAAGTGGAGGTGGGTGACAACCTGGGAAGCAGTGATCATGAGATGGTAGATTTCAGGATCCTGACCAAAGGAAGAAAAGAGAGTAGTAAAATACACACCTTGGACTTCAAAAAAGCAGATTTTGACTCCCTCCGAGATCTGATGGGCAGAATCCCCTGGGATGTTAACATGAAGGCGAAAGGAGTCCAGGACAGCTGGCAGTATTTTAAAGAAGCCTTATTGAAGGCACAGAAAGAAACCATCCAGACGCGAGTAAGAGAGGTCCAGGACTGGCTTACGGGAAATCCTTGGTGAACTTAAGCACAAAAAGGAAGCTTACAAAGAGTGGAAACTTGGACAAATGACCAGGGAGGAGTTTAAAGGTATAGCTCGAGAATGCCTGGGGGGTTATCAGGAAGGCCAAAGCGCAAATGGAATTGCAACTGGCTAAGGATGTGAAGGATAACAAGAAAGGTTTCTACAGGCATGTTAACAAGAAGAAGGTGATCAGAGAGGGTGTGGGGCCCCTAATGGATGAAGGAGGTAACCTAGTGACAGATGATGTGAGGAATGCTTTCTTTGCCTCTGTATTCATGGACAAGGTCTGCTCCTGGACTTCTGCACCAAGTGACGCAAGATGGGATGAAGATGGACAGCCCGTGGTGGGTAAAGAACAGGTTAGGAACTATTTAGAAAAACTAAACGTACACAAATCCATGGGTCCAGACTTAAGGCACCCAAGGGTACTGAAGGAGTTGGCAAATGTCATTGAGGAGCCTTTGGCCATTATCTTTGAAAAGTCGTGGAGATCGGGCGAAATCCCGGATGATTGGAAAAAGGCAAATGTAGTGCCCATCTTCAAAAAAGGGAAGAAGGACGATCCAGGGAACTATAGGCCGGTCAGTCTTACCTCGGTTCCTGGAAAAATCATGGAAGGGATCATAAAGGAGTCCATTTTGAGACACTTGAATGAGAGGAAAGTGATCAGGAATAGTCAGCATGGATTCACAAAGGGCAAGTCGTGCTTGACCAATCTGATTAGCTTCTATGATGAGGTAACTGGCTCAGTGGACATGGGAAAGTCAGTGGATGTTATATACCTTGACTTTAGCAAGGCTTTTGATACGGTCTCCCACAATATTCTTGCCAGCAAGTTAAGGGAATGCGGATTGGATAAATGGACGGTAAGATGGATAGAAAGATGGCTAGAAGGCCGGGCCCAGCGGGTAGTGATCAACGGTTCGATGTCAGGATGGAGGTCGGTTTCTAGTGGAGTGCCCCAAGGTTCGGTTCTAGGACCGGTTTTGTTCAATATCTTGGGCCACAAGAAATCTGATGAGGTTCAACAAGGACAAGTGTAGAGTCCTGCACTTGGGACAGAAGAATCCCAAGCATAGTTACAAGCTGGGGACCAACCAGTTAAGTAGTAGTTCTGCAGAAAAGGACCTGGGCGTTACAATGGATGAGAAGCTGGACATGAGTCAACAGTGTGCCCTTGTAGTCAAGAAGGCTAATGGCATATTAGGTTGCATTAAGAGGAGCATTGCCAGCAGATCCAGAGATGTCATTATTCCCCTTTATTCGGCTTTGGTGAGGCCACATCTGGAGTACTGTGTCCAGTTCTGGGCCCCCCACTACAAAAAGGATGCGGACGCATTGGAGAGGGTCCAGCGGAGGGCAACCAAAATGATTAGGGGTCTGGAGCATATGACCTACGAGGAGAGGCTGAGGGACTTGGGTCTGTTTAGTCTGCAGAAGCGAAGAGTGAGGGGGGACTTGATAGCAGCCTTCAACTTCCTGAAGGGAGGTTCCAAAGAGGATGGAGAGAGGCTGTTCTCAGTAGTAGCAATGGTCTCAAGTTGTGGTGGGAGAGGCCCAGGTTGGATATTAGGAAAAACTATTTCACTAGGAGGGTGGTGAAGCACTGGAATGGGTTACCTAGGGAAATAGTGGAGTCTCCATCCCTAGAGGTTTTTAAGTCTCGGCTTGAGAAAGCCCTGACTGGGTTGATTTAGTTGGAATTGGTCCTGCTTAGAGTAGGGGCCTGGACTTGATGACCTTCTGAGGTCTGTTCCAGTTCTATGATTCTGTGATCTCTCAGTCCATCCTACTTCCACACCAGGTTTCCTCTAAGCTGTGCGCCTACATCACCGCGCATAACAAATTTTAGGCCCGCACACCTTGCCTTTAGAGTTGCACAGCAGCACTCACTAGCAGTATTCCCTCTAAGCTGCCCAATAGCACCGCTTCACGTTTGTTCAGCACTATCCAGTCAGTCAGCTCCCTGAAGAGAGCGCTGAGCCGCTGACTGGGTGAGGCTGATTATCACCTGTCAAGCTAGGATGCCGCAAAGCTTAGAAGGAACACTACTCACCACCACTCACTTTCCTGTTGGCCCAGATGAGTGGTAGCAGTGGGAGTGTGGCAGGGGTGTGGGAGGGTGGGCGTGGAGCCAGGCCCTGCTGAGACTCTTTGCTGGGGGAGCCTCAAGTGCTTATGGTGAGCAGGATGCCATAGCCTAGCTGGTGGGAGTGGGGGCAGCCGCTTGGGCAGCCCAGCCTGGGGCTGGAGCTGCATGGTTGAGAGCAGCCTGGGCTGGAGCCCTGTGGCTCTGTACTGTAGTGAGAGTGTTTTTTCTTGTAAAACAATTTTTATATATCTGTTAATAACTGAGGGGTGCTACAGTAGTGCACATCCAGGTACGAGGACATGATGTCAGTGTGGGTGCACAAGACGAAACTCACTCCCCTCAGAGGGGAAATCTTAGAATGAACGCTGTCCCACGCTACACCTGAATCCACAACGATGGGAACAGAGTAGGGTCTCCGCACGTTTGCTCCTGTTATAGGGCTCACGTCTGCTGTCACTGTTGTTAATGCCAAGGGAACCTAAGTCTGGAGCTAGCTGGTGGGTGAGGGTTACACCCCAGTCGTGGAGGGGCCAGCACTGGCAGCTAGAAAAAGCCTGGGCGCGCAGAGGTGCGGTTTAGAGGCGCCAGGTTGAGCACAACCCCCCCCCCCCCCCCGGTAGGCGAAGGTGGCGCGCCCGGGAAAAA